ATAAATAAATCTCGTTTCGATTGTCCTTTAATTGGAAAAAACTCCCTTCCGCGCCCCTTTTGGCCGGTGCGGGTGAAAAAGGAGGTGTGACAGGTAGGTTTCGTTTCAGTCATCTTGCACCCGAATAATAGCAAAATCGAATAGTCAAGAACAGTGCAGTGAAATTTGAACAGTGTAGTGAACAGTGAACAATGATATTTGAACAGTACAATGAATAGTAATATTTGAACAGTGAATAGTACAGTGAACAGTGCCGGAACAATGATCTTGGAAAATGAAAGTTGTCAGGAAAAAAAATTCTGACAGTACCACTTTGGTCGGAATAGTGAGTAGAAAAATCTGTAAAGAAGCGGCCGGGGCAAAAAATGGCCGGAAATAGTGAAATAGAATCAAAGCAGCGAAAGACTGTTCTGAACAAAAATAATTCGAACGGGGAAAAAAAAATNCTAGAAGAGAAGATTACAAGGCCTATTTATAATACTAATTCACCTAATCTATTAGTTACCATACACCTAATTACACCTACTATACAACTCATATACATGTGCTAGCTATGATGTAGTACATGTGTATACATGTGTTACACAACTTGTATTACACCTACTATACAACTCATATACATGTGCTAGCTATGATGTAGTACATGTGTATACATGTGCTAGACAACTTGTATGTCATCAATTGGCTCTGTTCATTTAAATAATCTGGCTGTATTGTAGTTTCTTTTGTATCACATCTGGATAGGCTTAAAAAATTTCCCTGGCTACCTTGATTTCTCTCATTTGTACCATGATTACATTTTTAACTTGGCTTTCTGCCCGATAAAGCAATTGACTTGATTGATGAAGTTGGTTCCCTTGTTAGACTTCACCATGCACATGTATAGATTACTCTGTTAATCTGCCATGCCCAGCCCTCTTTTCCTAATGGAATCATTACCCATTTTTCTTGATAACATCTAGCTCCGCGAGGAAGCAAGAGAGCTCGAGAAAGAGCTTCATCAGCTTACAAAGGATTAGATGAAGCTGTGCGCGGTCAAGATTTTGAAAAGGTGTCTGGTTTCCTCTAGATTCTACTTCCTTATTAAGGCATTGAACTGCTTTTCTTGCTAGTTTTAAATAATTCCGTACCTCTCAATGCATCTGGCAGACTGGGGAGTTGCGTGATAGAGAAATGGATGCAGATCTCACTCCAGAAGACAAAAACAAAGAGATGTGCAAGGCAGAAACTGAGGCTGGAGATGCAGGCCGTTCATTACAGAGACAGATATTCAGCACATTGTGTCTTCATGGACTGGCATCCCTTTCAAGAAGGTCTCACGGATGAGTCTGATCGCCTCCAATAAATGCAAGAAACACTTCACACCAGAGTAATATATCGGCCAGGATGAAGCTGTAAAAGCCATTAGTCGTGCCATCCAACATGCGCGTGTTGGACTCAAGAATCCCAATAGACCTATTGCCAGTTCATCTTTTCTGATCCAAATGGTCTTGGGAAGTGAGAACTGGCCAAGGCTTTGGCAGCATACTAACTTGGTTCTGAAGAAGCATTGATCCGGCTTGATATGAGTGAATTTATGGAGAGACACTGTCTCCAATTGGTTACACTGAAGTTTGTGAATCGTCACTGTTGTGCTCTTTAATGAGATTGAGAAAGATCATCCCGTGTCTTCAGCATGATGCTTCAAATTGTTGAAGATGGAAGATTGACTGACAACAAGAATGCACTTGTCATCATGACATCAAATGTTGGAAGCAGTGTGATAGAGAAAGGAGGCCGTCGTATAGGTTTTGATCTGGATTATGATGAGAAGGATAGCAGTTAAAACCGAATTACGAGCTTGGTGACTGAGGAGTTGAAACAGTACTTCAGGCCAGAGTTCTTGAACAGATTGGATGAGTTTATTATATTGTGTCAGCCCACTAAGTTAGAGGTAAAGGAGGTGGCTGATATCATGCTCTAAGGAGATATTCGAGAGGTTGAAAAATAAAGAGAGAGAACTTCAAGTGATAGAGAGGTTTAGAAATAGGGTGGTTGGGGAAGGATACAATCCAAGCTATGGAGCAAGATCGTTGAGGAGAGTTATTTTGAGACTGCTAGAAGAAAGCTAGCATGGCTGAGAAGATGCTTGCAGGTGAGATCAAAGTAATTATGGATGTGGATTGAGATGGCAATGTGACTGTCCGCAATGGCACTAGCTATTGCGGACAAATAGAATTGAATGCGCCTGATGCTTTTGTTTTCCGTTGTATACTTTAACAAGGAGAAAATGATTTTAATATAGATGTAACGAGCTAATTTGTTCGGACTTGCTTTATGTTCATTCATTCGTGAACTTCTTTGGGAAGCATGACAGTAACTGATTAAGATTCAGCCAATTAATCAAGTGACTTTTGGTTTTCTCTCCTACAAACTTTTAATCTTCAACGGCAGATAATTAAAGAAATGTTAATTACTCCTCTACTTTCAACTCCTGCATCTCTCCTCTCCTTTGTTTGTTGAGTGACCTTTTCTCGTGTTCACTTAATCATTAGCAATGGCAGATAAGGGCAGCTTCCAAGCAGCAAGAAGCAAAAGGTTCTATATATCTCTTGCATTGTTGTACTATTAAACTCTTAATTATTCAGTACCCCGAACCAGAAGATAGACATGCATATCATTTTCCAGTTCTGATTAATTTTACGTGTATGATGAATTCGATTGTAGAGATAAGGTTGAAACGACAAGTCGCATATCTCGTAGAAGTCAAGGAATTCCACCAGAATTGAGTGATGGCCTCATTGATAAAATTGACGCAAGGAAATTGTCGAAACAGTCCGCTACTTGTGAGGAGTTTTCGTGCGATGGTATGGTTAAAACAATAAGAAGTTTGAGAAGAAATGATCCCTTATTGGATACAAGTATACAACACTTACTGATTGGCAAGTTGATCTGGAAAGGTTAGAGTTGAACCCCAATGGCAGAACACAAGTAGTGAAAGGTGCCATTTCAGCTGTGAAGTTTCTTCCCGCAGCGAATATGAAAGTAATTGTTGTAGGCGATGAGCTTGGCTATTTTGGGCTATGGAACATGGATTTTGAAGAGGAGAACGGGGACATTGGAATTTATCGGTTTCAACCTCACCATTCCAAAATATCTGGAATTTCAATTGAGCCATTCTCCATGTTGAAGGTGATAACTCTGTTTTGCTTTTCTATTTTTATGAGTACTTAATTAAGATTCATACTATTGTCTGTCAGATTATATTAATCTTTAGATTTCTCTGCTAACTAGTAATTGGTGCGAACAAGCTTTAGCTTTATAGTGTTTTTGTAAGTACGCAAAAGAAAGAAAAAGAATTGTACTGCGTCTGTAAGAAATGAATATATGTGGGGACTATCTGTATTATTTACATAAGCAGTCGCCTTGTAGGAAGTTGAATTGTTGCTGCATATCTTAGCCGGCTGATCAAAATAGTGAAGTTGAAAGTACAAAAAAAAAAGAAAAGGAATTAGCGACATACAAATTCGGTTGCTAAACTAAAGAATCGGGCGCTAATCTTATTTAGTGACGGATGATCAAAAAATCTTATTAGCTACAAGCTATTTAGTGATAGATTAGTGATAAATTTCCTAGCTAATTCCTGTTTTTTTATGTGACTAATAATTTCATAGTAGTGCTTGGCATAAAGCCTTTAAAGTTTGATATAACTTTTCCTCTTCAAATTTCTTTCTTTTAGGACTTTAAAAAGTTATGATGACTATTGTAATTTCTAATCTAACTAAAACCCAAAATATGTGAGAACTGACAATGAAAATGAAAAGCTATTCATGTACAGCATATGAGCTATTTCAATTTTCAATATATAACATCATCTTCATGTCTGTAGTGTGGTTATTGATCATAGTAGTTAATTAGTTTGACATCCAACAACTTTTCTTGTATATGTACGTGCAGCTATTTACTTCAAGTTATGATCAACGTATTACGTTGCTGGATGTTGAAAAGGAGGCTTTCAAAGATGTATATCAGGATACTTATGCAATATATTCCATATGTCATCGAGTAGAGGACGTAAACTGTTTATATTTTGGCGACGAAGTTGGAGTGTTAAAAATATTTGATGTATGAGCTAGCACACTATTATCACTAAAATGGGGATTGCACGAAGAGAGAATCGATACGATACATTGCAAGCCAGATGATCCTAATATTGTAATTACAAGCTCGGTAGATAGGACTTTCTCTGTGTGGACTTGAGGAGTATTAGGAGAGATCAACTAAAGTCATTAACTATTGGACATGGCGGTCCAATTCATTCCGCGTACTTACCTTTTTGGAGTTTTCTTGCAACAACAAGGTTTGTGCTACTAGTGAAGCCCCTTTGATTCCTAATTTCCTACATACAGGAAATGCTTTAAGAATTTTGACAGAAAAGAGGGAATAAAAGCTGCTTATTTAGGAAATAAAAATCGAATGTTCTACTTCACTAGTATGTCATATGAAATTAGATAATTCAGTGAATTCAGATTTCAAAATTACTTCTAATCCTAGAAGTACTTTCAAAACAAATATTTGATAGTGCAATGCTTCAAAAGAATATTGTTAATGTTTTTAGAAGGTATATTCTAGTGAAGATGTTTTTGTAGGAAATTTTAAGAGGAAAGGTCTTCATAGTAAAAGCATCAAACCACTCTTATCAGTTTGTTCTTTTGCTTACTTTTCTTGAGAAACTTGACCGTTTGTTTTGATTCTATCAACTGTTTGGTATCTCCTCGATCAGTAGTTATGTTGGTAATTTCATGTTTAACACAGCTTGGAAAATACTATTGGTCTATTTGGAGGAGAAAACTATGAGGAGTAGTTCCTGATACCCCACAACAACCTAAGTGGTGAATATATTTCCACATTAAGGTATGACATAAAATCTTTTCAAGTTCACAAGAAAACTGTGTTACATTTTTAAAGAGCCATTTTCTTGTAAAATATCTAATCCACTTTTGGAACAGAGCAATCTGGGGCTGGGATGACTCATATGAGTACATTGGCAAGATTGAGGAAAAGCAGAAGCATAAAAGAAAAAGAAAGCTCAAAAAATTAGAGGTGATTGATGACAATATTGATAACGTTGAAAAGAAGATTGATGATGACAAAAATGGAGTCGATATCATCTCTACGGTTGAGAAGAAGGTTGTGTGTACTTTGCAAAGTGATGATATGCCTACTGTTCCATACTGTTTGGCTGCTCATCCTTATATGGTTGGAACACTTGCTGGTGCCACAGGCAAAGGTAATGTATGTATGTGGGCAGAAGAAGTTGCAGATCCAGAATCTTGAGTTTATAGGTTCTGAATTCGAAAAAAGCGGTTTACTGGAGTGTGGATAAACAATTTATACATATTCTGTGAGTTCTTAACACAAATACAGGATTTTGGTCAAAACTATTTGGTTCGCCGAAACCGCCTCTGGATAGAAGCTTGACACTCACTATGTTTTCTTAAGGACAATGTATTTGTTTCTATTTTGAGATATGCTCTGGTGAAGTAGCTGTTGACATGCATAGTGTAAATATCTAATTGTTTTATCTTTTTTTTTGTGGAGAATGATTAAATTTTCATGAAGTACTTTTATAAATTAAAGAAAATTGTTAATGCTTGATACTAGTTAATTGCTTTGATAAGTAATATACGTTAAGTAAAAGAAGCTGGAGTATAGTCGCCTAGTCGCATATCTTGATTGTACTCAGTAAAAGAGCATTGAATACTGCATTCTCTCCAGAAAAATACAGTTTTATAAGGAAGAGATTTTACCTTATATTTTTCTTTTTTTTATTTGTCCTTTTTATTGACACTACAAGTAAGACACCGATGGAGCATATTTCTTAAAAAATTGCATTGATGGAGCACAGTTCTAAACCTTTGGGATCGTTTGGTTCGAACATAAGTTATGCAGGGAATAGTTATACATGGATTAGTTATGCTTGAATTAGTTATGCGTGTATTAGTTATGTAGGGATTAATTATGTAGGTATTAGTTATGTAGGGATTAGTTATGTAGGTATTAGTTACATAGGGATTAATAATGCATGGATTACAATGTAAATGTTATTTCTTGTTGAACGTTTGGTTTGTCGTATTAAAATTAGTATCGATTGTACAATTTAATGTGTCTTCTTTTTTCTATAAAAAAAGTTTGTTTACTACTTATACCATTTATCTACTTCAGTTTTGTATATTTTCTTTCCTTAGCTTTAGTTAATCTTCTTCTTTTTGAAAAAAAAAAAAAAGAAGCTTTGGTTAATCTCACTTAAAAGTTAAAACTATTAGGGAAGAACAAAATTTACATGTTTCTTGAAAAACTGGAAAAGAAGAAGTTTGCTTGAATTCAATTAAGTACTGGTCAGGTTCTTCATCCAACAGTTATTTTCTTGTCTTAATACTATTTATTTCATTGCTAAATATTGTCAAATTACTACTATATATATAAGTGAGAGTTGGAGTAGACGAACACTGCACCAAAGAATCGTGCGAAAAGCAACTTAAAATGTGTTTTAAACCTGGGAGGAACACGACAATTTTGAAACTACGAATCCATACAGGGATAAATTGGTACCTCTATCTTTCCATAGAAACACCTGTACTGCACTGTTCCATAACCATGGGCGGCCCTTCCATAAAGTAAGTAAAACAACCGTTTAAGGCCATATATTTATGGGGCACCTATTTTTTATGTTACACCTAATAGATTATATATAAGTTTAAAAAAAAGTTATGTAAAGTGAAAAACTTTGATTTCTTTCTTAAATAAATATAGAGAAGAAGGATTTACATCAACTATGATTTCTACTAAGGAAATTGCACTTGAAATAAATATCGAACCCGAATTTCGTAAGAAACGTGCGATATATAGCAAGTCACAATTTGATGCGAATGTTGATACGAAATCTCTAAATCTTTCGAAGAGTCTTTTAGAGTTGATTACTTTTATTAGTTTATACATAATAGACAAGACTATTTTTTCATTTCAAAATAGAATTGAACAATTTGAAACATATGAAAATATTTTTGGTTTTCTATTTGGCAGTAAAAATTAAGATCACTAGATGTTGGAAATTTGAAAAATATATTGCCTAAATCTTGAATGTTCCTTAAAGCATAATAAACAATTCGATATCAATGGTCTAGATTTATTTTTTGAATCAAAAGTATTAAAAAATAGTACAATTAGAAGATAATAGTTTAATTGATACACTTAATCAACTAAAAAGATTTAATTTTTTTCCAAAATGCCTAAATTGCTTATGGAATAGTTCATAATTCATGTTACTGTTGCTTCAACGGAAAGAAGTTTTCAAAATTAAAATTGATAAAATCTTACCTAAGAACAACAGTGTCACAAGAAACGTTAAATGGATTAGCTATATTGTCAATTGAGAAATACTTATTAGGGGTTATTGATTAAAAGAAAATTATTAATAACTTTGTATCTAAGAAAAGCTAAAAAAATAGACTTCAAATAAATAATTAAAAAAAATTAAAAAGTTAAGGTCCCTCATAAAGTTTGTCTTTAAGCCACAAAATTCGTTGGGCCGTCCCTGTCCATAATATATATATATATTGTTTTCCTCGTTCAACTTTTCATTCTTTTCTTAATTTTAAAAGTGACGTTGTTCTTTGAAACTTCAAGCCTCAAGGCGTCAAGGCAACCACTGGATTGAGCCCACAGAAAACCTTGGCCAACAGGCACACTGTGAGCTCCTTTATTTAGTAGTTGTAAATCATATTCTATGTAGTCTTTTGCCTATATTTTGTTCCTCCTGCTGCAATACAACTTAGTGAGTAAGTAAATGTTTGATTCTCTTTGTCATAGAGATTACTGATTCAGAAATCTTTATTTCACTTATGAAATTCTCTACGGATTGTGCCTTTTTTGTTCTTTTTCTTCTCAGTTACAAGTGCACCATTTTGATTTTTTGATGCACGATACTTTTTTTCTGTCTTTCTTCACGTCCTTTGAAAATTCTATACGCGCATTATTTGTTCAAATGCCTCTTACGAATATTCTCTACAGAGGTGCATACTCTACTACAACACTGTTGTCACGACCCAAAATCACATAAGCCGACTACTCACAAATACATGCATCTTTAATTCAAAACATACTAAAATAGGTTTAAATAAATAAAATCTCATAATAATTAGATGAAAACACCGCAACTCAATACAGAATTTCTCAAAATTCGGGTGTCACTGAGTACATGAGCATCTATACAATAACATGGTCTGACAATTGAAACACTATCTAGGAAGGTAGAACAATATAAACAAAACTAAGAGGTAAAGGAGGAGAGTCAAGGTCTGCGGACGCCAAGGTAGCTACCTCGATAGTCTCCGAACTGAATAAGCTCCAACACTACCAACCTCCGTGGCCAGAAGTACCTGGATCTGCACACAAAGTGCAGAGTGTAGTATGGGTTCAACTAACTCAGCAAGTAACAAGACTAACCTTTGAGCTGAAAGCAATGACAATCGAGCTCAACCAATACAATCAAGATACAGAGTTTAACAGTACGAAAATGACAGAAAGTATGACAATAGTATCTCAGAGAAACTCATAATCTGTTGGTACACAATACAAGAATATAGACATGCTTCCAGGTTTAACAGTTAAGCTCAATACAGATAAAATATGCCAAGTATGACTGATATGAGGAATATTACATCTCTATATCTACGTGCCAATGTGCATATCACATGTGATGCAACACAATGAAAGCCTCATGTACTCACACTCTCAGAGTAATCAATCTGACTGTCTCAATTCTCTGTTACATCCCGTATTTTAATATTAGGATGACTCGTAGTAATCTATATGAGTTCGAAGGGATTATGTCTATTAGGAGGTTATAGAGGGTTTAAGACATTATTATTATGAGACCCGATAAGTTTACAACCTTAATATCGTTAGATATTATGCTAGTGTGGTATTTTCTTTTAAGTAGAGTATTTTAGTAAAAATTTTATAAATATAATTTTGGATAGATACCATTATTACTATAGACATGTACTTTTTGACCCTCCACAAGATTTTACATTTTTAGCTTAAATATTTAGTTTAGGCCTGATATCGCTATTTCAATTAGTTTTGACTCTTTTACTTTATTTTATCACAAAAATAAAAATTATAAAAATAATTTATCTTTTTTGTTGCTTTTAGTTTATATATCTTTCGTAAAACTAAAAAAAAATACAAAAACAATACCTTATTTTTATTTTAATATGACATTTGAAAATACCAAAAATAATTTATTTTAACGGTTAGTTTTATTTTAATAATTATTTTTTACTTAAGTAGGGCCAATTAATATTTTTGGTAATATTTCTATCTTTAGTTTTTTATTTAATAGGCAAGACTTGATGTTGGCTGGATAGATTTTAGTTAAGTAGGCTAATTTTAAGCAAATCTAGTCATAAAGGCCCAAGTTTCTAGCCCATTACCCGAGCCCAATATCCTTAAACCCACATAATAATCTAGACCTAACCCATAAAAAGACCACACCCTTTCTTCTTCTAATCAGCCACAGAGAACAAAAAAAAGGGACCCCCTCGACGATTTTCTATCATCTTCTTCATGAAGACTTAACCCAACAGGACCCTACCGAGAGGGAGCAACCGTTTATGATGGTGAATACACAAGACAACCATCATCTTCTTCATAAAAAAAATAAAACCTAACGCCTATTGTGAGCACGTAATTTTTGCCTTACGAAAAACTACTCCAAAATAAATCAAAAAATAAAATA